GGAAGGAGTTTTCTTATGCTCCACTTGGTTTTGAAGGTGTGGTATGTGCTGCCAAATGCCTGTAGAGCCTGGAGAACCACAGTGATCATGGGCAGGCCTGTAACATTAATACTTTTTCCTTAAGTGTGAAATAACAGGCATGTTTTTTGTGCTAATTTCACTGGTAGGAAGCTGTAGGTAAAGCTGTAGGTATCATGCTGGGAATCACAGGTGGTCAGACTCAAGCTAAATTAACTTCCCTTTAGCCGAGTAAATTAAGAAAGTGGGAGTTACTTCCTCACAAGGCATAGGGGCTGAGGAGTAAAACTGAAGAGGTTTTCTCAGTCCAGAGTGGCAGGAGCCTTGGAGGAAGCACAGGTATGAGGGTTTTGGCTGAGATTCTGTGAAAATATAACCCTTGGTAGATGCATCTCTTTGTAGTTTTTGCATGCTGGTTATCTACTGAGAGGCCAGCTTTCATAAACATCAAATCTTGGCTTTGCACCAGTAGTGAGCAAACACAACAGTATAGAGGAGTAAACAGGGAAACCTGGCACAGCCAGTGTTTCCACCAACAGTATATGGAAAAGGAAATAATTACACTAAAATGCGGGGACCAGTCATGAGACCGTATCAGGTAAAAATATGGTGTGACATTTCTGATCTTTGATGCCTATCTGCGTGCGTGGTTTGTCTCTAGTTATGGAGGTAGATTGTTGTAAGTAATAACTTAAAATTTCCTTGGAAAAGGAAAGGGTGAGTAGGAACAGTTGATGGAGAAGATAAAAAAACCCTTATCATATGAGATGCATGCAGCTTTCCTCATTTTTCAAAGGAGTTTTAATCTCTTGTCTTGGAATGAGCGTTTTGGAAACATGTTCTGCAATAAGCGTAGGTTGTAAATCTCCTCCTCTGACCTGGGAGAAGGCATTTTCTTTGGGAAAGAATGTTGGGACAAGAGAGCAAGAAAATATTAATAAGTGTAAATCATTACATGTCACATTAACCCTCCTGTCGTTCATTCATATGTTTTTATGTTTGCATTAAGCAATGCTTGTGGGCATAGGAACAAACACTGTTCAGAAGAGATCTCTGAGTAGCTGTAAAAAAAAGCCATAATTCAGTGGAGAAACAGATCTAAAGCTGTCACTAACTATCGTGCTTGGTATAAAACATACAGTGCTGTTTAATCAAATGTCCCCTGGTTTTGGTAATTTCCTTGCTGTTATATCATCTGTCCTTCTGCCAGATCAGCATTAAACATCTGGCTAAAGTTTAATCTATGGCAGTGGGAATTTTACTGGCATGAGCAGTGATGTGATGCCAAATGTGTTTTGGCTCTGAATGTAAAGGTACAATGTGATAGTAACAATTCCCAAATCTTTTCATCCTCATTACGAACCTAAAAGCTGTGTGAAATAAATGGTAAAAGCTAACCTGCTTTTTTCAAGAAAATGTGTCATGGATATAAAAGCATGAATGTTTCAATTAAAGCTAATAAGTGCAATTTATCTCTTACCTCTGCTTTTCTTTGGTTTTCAGCTCATGGGGCATTCTGAATGGGATCACAAACGAGGACCCAGAGGCTCACAGGTCAGTTACTCAGCATCTTGTGTTTCATTTTGGCTTTTGGTAAATTTGAGGCATTCAAGAAAATTTCCCATCTGACATTGGCAAAGTTGTTCGTTTTGTTAATATTTGTAAGATTGAATCAATGGAACAAAGCATAAAACCATGACAGCTTTCATTAATATAATTGTTGAGCTGTGATCCAAACAGGTGATTCATACAGAGCTGATACATGCAACAAAAGGTTTCTTAAAGTAGCAGAAAGATGGATTAGATGTATTGAGAAAGCATTTCTTGCTCATCTGTCTCCATCAGGACATCAAAGGGATGCAGTTTCAAATAATATGTGTATGTTTTGTGTTTGCTGGTTTTTTTTTCAAACCTGACAAACTTGTAAAACTTGGATAGCCCTCTCACCACTAATCTTCTTGTTATTGAACAAGGTGTTAGAATTGTGTGGGGAGGTGCAGGAAAGCCATCTGTAGCTACTGGTTCATCCTTGACACATCGCTGAAAGGATATTTTGCTAGTAGTGTAAATGGCATCACCTGATAAATTTTTTAATTATCTATAGAATTACAATTGCTGCGAATGAGACTTTGCTACCAATATTGGTGTTCAGGAATTTTCCTGCTTGGGTAAAGCAGTCTTTCCCATCTAGTGTTGAAATTATATAAGTTAGGGCTCTGGTATTTTGGAATTGCTTTTACTTGAGGTGAAGGATTTTTATATGGATACCTTGTACAATGATCCAGACATGCCATAGAAATGTTAAAGGATCTATAACAAGGTGGGAAAAGAAAATCCTGGAATCGTAGAACAGTTTGGGTTTGGAAGGGACTTTAAAGATAATTTTGTTCCAAACTCCCTGCCATTCACAGGGACACCTTTCACTAAACCAGGTTGCTCAGGGCACCATCCACCCTGGCCTTGAACACTTGCAGTGACAGGGCATCCACAGCTGCTCTGGGCAACCTGATCCAGTGCCTCACCACCCTCACAATAAAGAATTTCTTCCTAACACCTAATTTAAACCTACTCTCTTTCAGTTTGAAGCCATTTTCCCTTGTCCTATCACTACAGTTCCTGATAAAGAATCCCAAAATGACTCAAGATTTCTGATTACTGCGTGCTATCCTAGTACCCAGTCACAAGAAGCAAGGAAGAAAAGTTTCATTAGAGGGAAGAAAATAAGCCTCAGTTATTCCACTGTAGCCTCAGATTATCTCTTTTACATGGCTCTGAAAATTGTGTTGATAGAAAGAGTGTTAAACCTAATTTAAGTAGTTCCCTGAGAGGTTATGAGAAATTTAGAAGGTTCTGATTTTTACCCTTAATATAAAAGACCTGTTTTATCCTTTTGTGGTTCTGTTGCATTGTTGCCAGCTTGTGTCTTTAATAAGTGTAACCATTGTTAAAAAAGATGTTGCTTAAAAATGAAGGTGAGGGATGTGTTAGGTATACTTCTGCTTCAAACCTAACACATCAGGTGTTTAAAATGGCAGTTACCTGGAGGATCTGCCACAAGGTTGCTTATGGTGTTTCCCTAGGTCAGGAGGGCTTTCCATCAGCACAGAAATGGGACTTGGGAGAAGAGGGCTCTCCTGGACAGTGGTGGTGCAACCTGTGCTGCCCAGCAAGCAGTGAGGGGGAGAGTAAGGAGCAGGAAGGGATTTAAGGTTAGGTTATTGGGAGGCAATTTATTAATCTTCTATGATCTTTTAATTCATGCCGAGTAATGAGAGGAAAGTGGGAAGATAGATCCTAGGAAGCCACCTATGTATGTGAATGTTAGAAACGTTGCTTGTGAGAACAGGAGGTGGAACCACTGGTTTACTTAATGCAAAATTAAAATCCACATACGAACTCATAAAGTTATTCTTCCGAGAGTCATTGAAAAAGCTCTGATCCAGTGAAGATTTTTTTAAGAGCACGTAGGTTTTCTGTGGCATGTGTTGAAACATGAGAGCAAACTACTACAGTGCATGTCACACTTCTTAATGACCCACTTGGAAAACGTGTTCCTTTCTGCATGTAGGAGTTAAATGCAAAGTGCTTTAGTTACAGGTAGCGATGGATGTCAAATGAAATACAGCGAGGCTTGTGGGAATTTCTGTTTGCAGGAGTTGGTCTCGTGATAAGCATCTGCAATTCAATAGAATGTAAATGGGACAAGTAAAAAGCTGTCTTTACAATATTTAACTTGCTCCTGACTTCTACACCATCATTACACTTCCCTTTTTAATATATTGCGTGCGTGCACACACACATACATATATATCTGTATGTGTGTATGTTGTAGCATTCCTTTTCTTTTAGAATAATTATACTATTAAGGTTGCTGTAATTAGAGTGAATTATAGGTTGCCTTGCAAAGATCAATGAGTTCCTGGCTATCTACTTGGGTTTTTTTTCCTTCCCTTTTTCTTCTCTGAAGACAACACTTCCTTCTGTAAGTGCTTCACGCAGAGAATTTACTCTATGGATTTGAAATCAAACAGAAGGGGCAAAGGGAATTTGATTCTGTTCTATCCTTGATTTGCAAACTTAATACAGGCTAGAATTTAGAATTTAGGCTTGAAACTTCAAAATTGACTTCCAAATTAAAGAAATTCCTAAACATTTAATTCACCTAAAGAAATCTCTCTCAAATATACTCATGCAGTCTGTAGAACTACATCGTGTCACTCATGGGAGGGGAAAATATTCATACCCATTTGTAATGTCAGCACATGCTACAGGAAAATGTGACTAGCAGAATTCATCCTTGGCATATTATTGCTCTGCAGAAAAATTATGCAAATTGTATTTTAATCATTCTACTGAAGCACGGTACTTGATACTTCTAAGATGTTTCAGGTGGGATCCGCGGCACGCTTTGTGCACACGTTTTTACGAGGGACCTTGAATGTGTGGGAGTAATTTGTTGCTCTGTCATCAGGACTTGTTTGGCTTGCTGGAGATGTAGGCGTAGCCCCCGGAGTCAGTGGAATCGAGCGATCGTTCCTCCGGCATTGTAAAAGAATGAGAGAGAAACACGGGTCCAGCGCTTTTAATTCTCTTTAAATATAAAAGCTCTCAATTATATATCTGAGGTGCTGCATTTTACCCCTCCAGTTCCTAAGCAACAGCTATTTTCAGATTGAGTGCGTCTGGTGTTGTCTACCTACTTCAGGCTTTTACGAGGTGGCTCGTCAGTGGAAGCTGGGCTGTTCTCTGTCTCCACTGACTCCCTTTGCCGTGGCACTGTGAGGAGACAGATGCTTTAGAGAAACGCGAGAAGCTCGGGTGTAACCAGTCTCAACCTTGCAGCTCATGAAAACTTGTGTACATCGGGGAGCTCTGCCATCTGCAATGAAGCACAGGAGTCAGAAATAAGGTTCTTGACACTGGTTTGGGAGAAGCCTTTTTCTCAAGTCTGGAAAAAGCCTCTAGAGCAGATTGGAAACCATGAGCCGGAAATCTCTGTACTTGCTGAAGCGTAGGTGGGAGTCGATTCCCGCTGCTGACCAGGTACAGTGCTCTGGTGAACCTGTTGTGTCTCTGTCTACTCTTGCAGTGCCACTGTAAAGAGTTTTACATTGATTTACTGGGGGTGGTTGGGGTCCTCTGCATACAGAGAGAACCAGCTGATTATGACTTGTCATTTCCATGATAAATACTGCAAAGTGTTCATAAAGCTGATTTTGCAGGAGCGTGTGCTTGTGAATGTGGAGATGCCATGACAGCCCACTAATGCAGACTTATTTAACCAACAGAATCTTCCTGTCTCAAAAATGAGACTTTTCTGAAGGCTTTAGGAGTGTTTTAAAGTGAGGGGCTAAGGAAAAGTGTAGTCTACTGTTAAAGGGTTCCTCGGTGCATGTCCTCGGTGCGTCTCATATCTTACACACATGTATGTATGTATGAAACCACTGATGCATTGGCAGAACCTCAGCGTTTTCAGGATCATCTTGGTTGATGCGTCATTGCAAGTATGGTTAACAAGGATGAGAGTAAAGCAGATGTAAACAGAAAATATGTAAACATCTGCTGGGCAAAGCAGATGTAAAAATTGTGGGATGCTTTGTTTGGAGCAAGCGTTGTCACCATAAGTAGGACTAAGATGAGATCAATGGGAGTACTTCTTGATCCAGGCACTCCAGGATTCTCTGAATTTTTTTTTCAGTATCTTACTTGGTATGTAAAGACACTAAAAAAAAAAAATAATTATAGAAATAATATTGAAAGGAAAGTGGAGGTGTTTGCTTAGTACATGTTTCAACTCAGTTTTTTGTTTATAAAACAGTTGACTATGAAGAAGTGTATTTATCAGTGATAAAGAGGAAATTCAGGAGAAAATTCTTCAACAGAAAGAAGGATGGAACATCAAAAATGCTTTCCAGTTTTTGAGAAGCATCCTCCTCTACACTTTTTTATTGAGAAAGGGAAGGGAAAGGCAAATTACATGCCATGTTTTATAGAATTGTAGAATTTTAAAGCTAAATTAGACCACTGAGAACATCTAGGGATCTCAGACCTATTACTAGTCAAAAAATACTATGTCACATCATAATTCACAATAAAATAATAAGGCATAGTTGATGAATACCTTTTTGTTGTATTGAAATGGAATTGAATTGATCCAGTTCAGTCAGACTCTCTAAAATCTCCTGGTAAAAGAGGGGTAAATAAATGCTCTCTTATGAAGTGAGTCATTTGTTATCTCGTTTCTGTTAAGATGTAGAGACACAATGTTGTTTCAAAGGAAAGCTGTATTTCAGCCTTACTTTTCCAGCATTTCTTTTTCATTTTAATCACTGTAATCTAATGTTGCATTGCATTATACTGTGTTACAGTGTGATGTGTCTGGGAAAAATAAGTATTCCTTACCTAGGTGTGAGGTGTGCTTGACTGCACTGAGCTGTGCATCCGTTCCATCATCAGTCCCTCAACCCTTCTGGAGGGTTTTAAAAAAGGAAACTTCCCTGACCCATGTATCACTTTAGGAGAGTGAGACTCAGTAAGTGATGCACATAGATGGGGTTGACCTGAGCAAAGTGTGGATCTGGACAGATTGACCGAAGGTAAACTAACAGGGGGAAGATGATGTTCAGCTTCAGACACACAGATATTTGCCTGGCTGTTTGCATTGCTCCTTACACTGGCTGGCATAAGTGGACTGGGGCTGCTCTGCTTGTTCTCCTCCTTCCTTGCTCAACAGTGCCTCGTAGGAAAATGCAGTTACTGTGCAAGATGAAAACCCTAAAAAGGCAAGTTCTCGAGTGTTTTAGGCTGATCCTGTTCCTAAGTTATTGTATAAAAATAATACCTCTGCCTTTTGCAGCAAATTAATTTTGTAGTCCTTAAAGCACTAGCTTACTATGGTCTAGGCTAACCTGGAGGAAATGATATTATATTTTGAAAGATAAGTAGTAACACTGTAGGTTACTTCTCTATTGAAAGTAGATAAAAGATATTTACGTTAACAAATGACAAAACCTCTCCAAACTGGCTTACTGTACTACCACTTTTTAAAAAAATACTAAAGGAAGGAAATAAAATCAAGCTCTGAAAGTGGGATTTTTGGCTTGATCTTGTTTCTTGTTTAAAATAATACAGCAGATCTGACTTTTAAGAACACGGAAACTGTAAGTCCACAGTGAAGTCTGATACTCTATTTGAACACACTTTCTGTCTTTTAAAAGTTATTGAGTGATTTGTTATTCCTCATCTTACATACTTTACATCAAACCAAAGTACACCCAGAACCATTTAGGCAAGGGTGAGCAGGCTGAGAAGTAAAGGTAGTGGCAAAACAAGAGTAGTTATGATGTCTATAGACAATATTGTTGAAGGTTGTAGGGTTTTTGGAGGTGTACTGTTATATAATTCTATTTTTGATCTTTTGAGCATCACTTACACTCACAGACACTACATCACAGAAGTTTCCATGGTTCCCAGGGTCCGATATGACAAAGGAATGTTATCCTTGGTGTTTTGCATTTTGTATGTGTGAAAGGGTGAGGAAAGTGGATTTGAGCATGAAACCTGACTTAGATCTATTTGGTTTCAGTTGATGAGAAATGTCTGATCTAGCTATACTTTTTTATATGTGGAATAGTTTTATCCTGTGAGTATTTTTCATGGGTAAATTTAAGCAAAATGGTGATGAATTAAATGTTGTATATTAACGTCTATTCATCAAACTTTAGTCTCTTAGGGCTTGAATCTTGAATGGCTTTCTCAATAATTTCAGAAGGAATTACCTTTATAGATCTAAAGAAAGGATTTATGAATGCTTTTCTTTCTTGTCCATCCAGCAGTTCATATTACCTGAAAGTCTTTCCTGAAGTTTCAGTTAGGTTTGGGGGGAAATTCTCTGTTGGTTTTATTTGGTGTATGTGCCCGAGGATCTTGTTTCTTGAACTGATCCTAATTTTTTATCTCTGAGAGCTGTAACTAAGAATGATTTCACTGAATGGATATGGATTTAAAATGTTGTGGTAACCAGATGAGCCAGAGGTGTTAAATATTTGCTGTAATGCTGTTGAGTACTTCCCTCTGCCTGAAATTCCCTGTAGATTTCATGAGCTGTAGCCTTTGAGCATAAGTTGTATTTGATACTGCTCCTAAGACAGGAGAAATCTTCACACATTATCCCATGGTGGAAACTGAATTTAAAAACAGGAACTAGATTTATACAGCAGTGTAAAAACCTCATAACCAATAATTGCTGTAGAGATTTATATAGCTGTATGTAGTTAAAAGGAATGTACTATGCAGATAAATAAATGTTGTAATATTTCTTCAGCTAGAAATGCATGCTTATAGCAGCATAAGCAACGGTACTGCTTTCTGTACCATTAAGTCACCAGTTTAGATTGGGATGGATTAGTGTAAAGCCCATGAAGTGATGCCTCTCTCACCTGCCAGTGATTTACAGCACAGCTATGCCTGAGGCAGTTTGCATGTACAGTGCAATATCCTGCTCCTAACCACTGATATGGTGGGTGGGAGAAACTCAGAGCCTACAACCCATGCAGGGTGCTAAACAGCAGATAAACTGATCCTGTTATGACTTGAGTCATAACTGTGAAATGATAAATCAAGGGATTTTCCGAGAGTCAGTCTGATATCCCATTACATCATGGAGCCACCATATTTTCAGTGTGATCATGTCTAAAGTAATTCTGATGGATTAAAGCTGCTGTAAAGAAATGGACAAGGTTCACTTTGTCAGGACTGGAAACTGTGGGTTTGCATATTTGTTTTTTTCTTTATTGTTTTAATTTTTTTACTAGTGGCTCACCTCAGCCACAGACCTTTTTGCTGCTTGCATCTTGCCTTTGTGCCCTGAATGGTCCTCACTTACAACCCCTGTACATCCATGAGGATGGCTATAACACATCTGATATTTTTAAGACAGTGTTGGAGCTCCCGTGCTTTATTTTTCTCTCAGGTGTCTGCTACACTCAGACTTTTTGCTGCTGTCCAGCAGCCTGACAGCAGTATGGCACTGCTGAGGTTCAGCCAGAGCCAGCTTCACTGGGAACTTCATGGTGAGGAAGCACAAGGCTCTGCAGGACAGTAGTCCTTGCACCTCGGCCGCAGGCAGGAATGTGGCACGCAGGCACGGATATTTGTGCAGGGGGGCCGTGGCAGAGCCTGGCTCACAGCAGGACAGCATCAGTGAACTGAGTGAAAACCACAGTGCAGCAGGGGTTCGTGGTATGTGCCTCCTCTCTGTGCAAAGCTCGTGAAGCTTTTCATGGAGAAGGGGATGATGGAATGGTTATGGCGAGGAGGCCTCGGAGCTGTCGGTGCGGGACTGTGAGTGTCCCTGGCTCACAGCTTGCCTGTGGATTAGGAAAATGTGC